GGTCTCTGTGTGGGAGTGTTTGTCTCCTAGCATTTGAAATATTTGAGTAAAAAAGTATGGATTGGTAAAGAAAGTTGAGGATGGGGGGATTTGTTGTGGAAGGGTGATACTGAGAGAGAATAAATATAGTCCATTTCATTTGAAAGCTTATTGCATGGCTATGTTTCAATAATTATGATTAACAGTGTTATCATGTCACATTCTTGGCCGCAGCCGTGCATTTACTGTAATTGTCTCGTTGCACTGGTCCATTTCCAAAAAGAGTTCCGTGATCACACAGAAAAGCATTGCTAAAAAGGGGGCCTGGGATGTATTTATTTACAGAGGCCTGCGGGTGGGGGGAGTGTATGTTTGTGTTTGTGTGTGGCGCTGCATTATTTTGCAGCTCTGTCTCTCTAATAACCTGAGCACCGTTGGGTTCCAAGTAAACGTCTGAAACCAGAAATAGCACGGTCATCACACACTGCAGGGGTTGTGACTGAAGGCCTTATTTCTTTTTTGGAGGGAAAATGCAAACGCTAACAGAGCATAAAACCCTCAACCAAGACAAACAAATGGCTGTCGTTAAGCACAGGGTGCCATGAAGATGTCACGATGACTAGATTATCAGTGTAGTTGTTGCCATGGTGAGGGATGGCTCTGTCATGTCTATGTGAAAGGGTGTCTTTAAGGAGTGTCATTATCCGCTAAGCTATCTCATCAGCTAGCTCAATCCCATCAGCCTCTCTGCCTCTACCTGACAGAATGTGCGCCGTTTGTAATTGGCCAATTTTACAGAGCTGTCAAACTAAGTGACACTCTTCTCAGAAACCTCTGTAGGGAATAACTTGCAACAACTTTGAAAAACGTCATCCAACAATGTTTTGTAGCTTGTGCTTGGCTATACCATCTATTACCATAGAATAAGTTGTGGTCCTCTGTAGCTCAATTGGTAGAGCATGGCGCTTGTAACGCCAGGGTAGTGGGTTCGATCCCCGGGACCACCCATATGTAAAAATGTATGCACACAGGACTGTAAGTCGCTTTGGATAAAAGCGTCTGCTAAATGGCATATTATTATTTATTATAATAAGAGGATGTATATGGAGAATGCACACTTCATACAGTGTGTGTGTGTGTGTGTGTGTGTGTGTGTCTACCCAGTATGTATAGTACTGTATGTACAGTCAGGTGGGGTCTCATTCTCTCTGGAGATTCATCTTCCCCTCCCTGTGCAAGCGGCTCCTCTGACTTCATTTGCTCTGTGTATCCATTAATAATTAATAGTGAGTGTTAGTAAGGCGGAGAGCTCTGGCTTTAGGCCCCGTCTTCCTCTCCTCCTCCATCCCTCCATCCTTGTGCAGCTCTCCCTCTGTCCCTTTACTGCTAAATAGTAATTTTCCCCTCCCTCTCTCCCTACCGCCCTCCTAGACTTTCTCCCTCCCTCCCTCCCTCCCTCCCTCTGCTGGGACAACTTGCTGTTCAGACTACCTGAGTGTACTGGATGTACCAGCTCCCCCAGAGCACTGACGTGTCACTAGTTTGCCTTTGAAGGGATGAGAGATGAATGAGATTCTCTCTTCTTACGCTTCTGCCCTCTCACAGCACTACCTGATGAAACACACACGCTCACGCACGCACACACGCACACACGCACACACACACACACACAAACACACCTAAAGGGACTCACTATAATCGTAGTGATAATCAATGCAGTGCACTCTCTCATAACTGCGTCTTTCTACCAAGTCAATTCCTACTGACGATGATGATGACACGGGCTATGATTATTCTCATGGAGGCATAATGATGGATGTAGAAGGCTGTTTTTATGTTTCATATTTACAGGAGATGACGGGAAAGCTTTGTGTACGCCTCAGGGCCCAATCTCTCTGTATTTACCATCTGTGTGTAGAGCAACTGTTTGTTTAACTCACTTTTTGTCTCTGGAAGGTCCTGTAAAGTTCAAGACCAAGGGCATTTGAGGCCCTGATATTTTTTAAGGGACTTTGCTCTTGAGGAATGTGCCCTGTCCTGCCACAATAGTAGTCTATGGACTTTGCCTTTGGCCTTGATGAATGGTTATTGAAATAGTAGCGGTCGTTCCCTATAGAGATTGTTTGAATTGGAGAGAACGTCTTCATTAGTAGAGCGGCAGGAGGGTCTAGTGGGCGGACCGGCTGTCGTAGAGCCCTGTTACCATGGAGAGGGTCGAGCACGTCCTATAAGGGTCACGCACCAGCGCCTAGCAGCCAATGGCACGGCGGCAACTCAGAAGGGTTCGACAAGACTTCATCAGACACATATTTCTTTGGCTATGCCAACGTGTGCTGTCTCTAAGTTCTAGCTGGTACCATTATGTCTATGAACATGGCTATGTTACGATGAAACCGTTCCCCATTTCCCACCGGCATTGAGTTCCCAACGTCCCTAGAGGGAACTTTCACCCCCCTCTCTCCCTCACCCCTTCGCTCGCACCATTCCCTCCCGCACACCCTTCCCCTGACTCCTCTTCCGGTTAGAGGATGCTGCAGAATCAGCCCTTTTTATTCCACTTAACATTTGAACATGGTGCTTAATGCGACATCCCCTCAGGGTACCTGCAGTCTACTGACATGCATTAGCATGAACAGGGGGGATTCTTCTACAGTAAATGCTCTAAACAGCCAGAACAGGCAGCCTTTTGAATCCTCTTTAATGGGGTGAGTAGCGCTCAACTCTCATGTGATTACAGGATGATATATTATGCACCACACTCAGTTTATATACATATAGTACACACATATAGTACACACATATAGTACACACATATAAAAGTACTCATAGGCAAGCAAGCACACACATGCACGTTTTTATATAGGGCTACATTTTATATAGGCCTACTGTGCAGACACATACACACACACACACACACAAACACACACACACTCTCCCCCACCACCCCACACACACACACCACATCCCAGAGCTTTTGGAATACATAAGCTATTAGCATGGCTCCTGATTACGGGGAAGCAGTTTTCCCAGTCTTTCTCTCCCTTCGCCTCACCTCCAGGCACTGCTTTGGAAGTGTAATTAGTAGTGCGGCGAGAGCGGATTTACATCCCGCTGTGTCCTCTCTCAGATCTCATCTCCTACTGTAATTTTCAATAGGTGTCGGTAGCTAATTCCATAAGCTATAGAGACATCAATGGGCTGGGCTAGGCTATGAAGACTCAAACTAGCCCTGTGTGACAGATAAGAGTCTTAGCTACTCTTCAGCAAATTGCTGAAAGGAGGGTTTTTCAAAAGAAACTTAGAGACCCAAAAAGAGCCAACCCTTGTTTTTCAGGGTTGTCTGTTTTGATGAGGTGTCACTCTCTATTTCCTGTGGCTCAAACTGGAAACAGGAAGCTGGCTCAGCTGTGTCTCTGTAGAGCAGAGAGGTTATCAGTGGCAGGCCTCAGCCCTGTGCCCTTTGGTTTCTCACTGTCATCCATCTGCAGGCCCCGGCTCAGGCGCATCAGGGTGAAAGTTAATATGGCGCCCAGCCACGCAAACATATAAGCAGAGCCACAGGAACCAGAGCCACAACATCCTGGCAACCTGTGGCCTGACCTGACTGCCTTGTTATTGACGCCTCCTGGGGAGGGCTCCCGATTGGCCCCCTTGGCCCCTGGAAAATGCGCTCTCAGCACCTCTCTTGACTCCTTGACCCTTGACTGAGGCAACCAGGCTCTTTTATTGGACGGCTCTTGAAGCTGAGAAGGAAAACAATCTGCGTCTGCTAAATGACTAAAAAGTAAAATGTGTAAGTCACTGCTCTTTCCCTGCCGCTGCTCTCTCGCTATGCTATCCCTTCGCTTCCTCCCTCACATTTTCCACAATCCTCCGGTACAACGTTCCCTGCTCTTCTCCTCCCCCTCTCCTGTCTTCCAACCTCCTCCATGGTGCTGTAGTTGCAATCAACGTTCTTGCTCTGTACTCTCGGAGCGCTGCGGAACACACACAACTCCAGGTCCATTATCCCCGACATTCCAATGAGCACCTTTGTTCACTAGCTGCAGCGAGTTGAAAGGCATGAAATGTACACCGTTCTACGTTTTCTCGAAACATTTAGAGGTAAAAGGGGAACGTTTGGTGTATTTTAGTGCAGCCAAGCTTTTTTCCTTCCCTTTTAGAGTAGAGCTGTCAGAGTGTAAACAAGAGTCTTGGTATTCTGAATGCCTGATCAAGTGAAGCATTCTTAAGTGAAGCGCATATGGGGGGGGGGGGGGGGGGGGGGGCAAACAAATGCAACCAGCGGGAGGTGAGTGTCTGTTTGATGCCGCCCCCCTTCAGAGGTAGTAGGAGTCATACTCTGGGGCTGAGCATGCTGGGAGGCTGACAGGCCTTATTCTCTCTGCCTTGCTCTGCCTCTTGTGTCTGAGACAGTCTCCCCCCGGGTCCCCTTTAGATTACAGCTAAATACAGTACACACATTGTGCGTGTGTGTGCGTGTGTGTGTGTGTGAATACGTGTGTGTGTTCATGTGTTGTATGTATGTATGTATGTATGTGTGTGTCTGCGTGTATGTGTGTTTGTGTGTGTATATTTGTTTTAGTCTTTGTCCAATAGAGGAATTTGTACTCTCATTACCTTCTTTGCTCTGTAGCCTTAATTTTACCCAAAACGTACACCACTTCAACTGAATATTGCACAAAGTCAGGAAAAAGCTGTTTCCTGAACATCACCACCAAATGATAAAGCAGGTCTGTCTGACGTCTAATCTTTCCATCCCCAATGTTTTTAACTCTTCATCACTCTAGCACATCTCCCATCTATTTTTCCCCACATTTACTCTCCTTCATATTGTACCTCGGAGTGTTCAAACGTGTAGCTCTAGCAAGACCTGAGGAGGCAATAACAACAAGCAGGAAAAAGTGCCCTGGGATCAATAAGGCCATTTTCGGGCGGGTCAGCTGCTGACTCTCTGGTTATTTACACTGGAGGTGGTGGGGGTTGGGGGGTAGACATATTACCCTGCTTACCTAACTCCCTCAGTACCTTTTGATCATGACGAACAGCCCCTGTGGTGTCCAACCACAGGCAGACATGCCCCCAGCCCAGTCCCCAGCCTCCCCTGCCTCGGCCCTGCACTGGGGCAGCCAAATTGCATTTTCTTTGCCTGCAGGCTGGAGGGAATGTTTGTGTGTTGCGTGTGTTGGGGAATGTTAGTGTTTGGTGCTGTTGTAACATGTAGGTCGACTTATGTGTGCAAGGTCGTGGATGTGTCGAAACAACAAAACAGGAATAGCCTACAACAGAGGAACATCTTGAGATCTTGGGCTACCTATTGGTAGCATTTTGCACCTTATTTTCCTCCTACATCGCTGTAAACATTAGACCCTCTGAGTGTCATTCTAGCTGACTGGGCCAACCAATGCTGTTGTGGAAGTAAAACCCATAGAAAGATAATATTACTCATGTCGTGATTCCTCGGAGGCAGGCATGGGAGCAGATATGGCCTGCAGGCGGGTGGCGAGGATTCACCCAGGGAAGTGGGACGTGTGTGGGACAGCTGTCTCGGGGCTGAGCTAATCCCTCTGATCCCTGCGTTGAGCTCAGCTTCCCACTGGAACTAAGGGGGGGATGCTAACAGGGATTGCCTAGCTTTAGAGAGCAGGACAACAAGACTAGCCTATAGATTGAGGGAAGGAGATATCTACAGTAGGGAAGCCTATAGCTTGCCTAGGTTGAGAATGAGGCTCTGATACAGATTTAACCTAGGTTGAAGGTGGGACGCTAACAGGGCTAGCCTAGCTTTAGAGAACAGGACTCTAAGTGTAAGCCTTTCATCACATTCCCAGTGGGTTAGAAGTTTACATACACTCAACGTTTTCGGGTAGCATTCCACAAGCTTCCCACAATAAGTGAATTTTGGCCCATTCCTCCTGACAGAGCTGGTGTAACTGAGTCAGGTTTGTAGGCCTCCTTGCTTGCACACACTTTTTCAGTTCTGCCCACACATTTTCTATAGGATTGAGGTCAGGGCTTTGTGATGGCCACTCCAATACCTTGACTTTGTTGTCCTTAAGCCATTTTGCCACAACTTTGGAAGTATGCTTGGGGTCATTGTCCATTTGGAAGACCAAGCTTTAACTTCATGACCGATGTCTTGAGATGTTGCTTCAATATATCCACATAATTTTCCTTCCTCATGATGCCATCTATTTTGTGAAGTGCACTAGTCCCTCCTGCAGCAAAGCACCCCCAAAGCATGATGCTGCCACCCCCGTGCTTCACGGTTGGGATGGTGTTCTTCGGCTTGCAAGCCACCCCCTTTTTTCTCCAAACATAACGATGGTCATTATGGCCAAACAGTTCTATTTTTGTTTCATCAGACCAGAGGACGTTTCTCCAAGAAGTATGATCTTTGTCCCCATGTGCAGTTGCAAACCGTAGTCTAGCTTTTTTATGGCGGTTTTGGAGCAGTGGCTTCTTCCTTGCTGGGCGGCCTTTCAGGTTATGTCGATATAGGACTCGTTTTACTGTGGATATAGATACTTTTGTACCTGTTTCCTCCAGCATCTTCACAAGGTCCTTTGCTGTTGTTCTGGGATTGATTTGCACTTTTCGCACCAAAGTACATTCATCTCTAGGAGACAGAACGCGTCTCCTTCATGAGCGGTATGACGGCTGCGTGGTCCCATGGTGTTTATACTTGTGTACTATTGTTTGTACAGATGAACGTGGTACCTTCAGGTGTTTGGAAATTGCTCCCAAGGATGAACCAGACTTGTGGAGGTCTACAATTCTTTTTCTGAGGTCTTGGCTGATTTCTTTTGATTTTCCCATGATGTGAAGCAAAGAGGCACTGAGTTTGAAGGTAGGCCTTGAAATACATTCACAGGTACACATTTCCAATTGACTCGAATGATGTCAATTAGCCTATCAGAAGCTTCTAAAGCCATGACATAATTTTCTGGAATTTTCCAAGCTGTTTAAAGGCACAATCAACTTAGTGTTTGTAAACTTCTGACCCACTGGAATTGTGATACAGTGAATTATAAGTGAAATAATCTGTCTGTAAACAATTGTTGGAAAAATTACTTGTGTCATGCACAAAGTAGATGTCCTAACCGACTTGCCAAAGCTATAGTTTGTTAACAAGAAATTTGTGGAGTGGCTGAAAAATCAAGTTTTAATGACTCCAACCTAAGTGTATGTAAACTTCCGACTTCAACTGTATATATGGATGATTTATAAAGCCAGGCACATTTAACAGTTAGGCTGTTGATTATAGACCTAATTAAGTTGGGGTTTCCTCTCTCACTTTTCTTAGGCAATTAAGGCAAGGGCTGTTTTCTCATCTCCTAACTCCTCTGTTGCCTCCGCCGCATTGTTCTTAACACCAATATGCTGGTTAACTTTGCTATTATGCACATAGCAACATGGTCTAGGAAAAGGCGGCCAATTCAAAAGTACATTGATGCGACCACTATCAAACGCGGGAAGAAAGCGCATTTGTTATAAAATCATATTGTTTGTGTTAGTGTTGTGCCATTGTCCTTAACCATATACAATTTCAGAAGTACATGTCTTAGAGTGATGGACTGTGCCATTCCCACGGCCTCCACAATGGATTAGTCCACTCAGACAGGCGCGAATCAGACAGGTGTCTTGTACACCATTAATTGTATTTATTTTTTGCTACTGCTCGACTAAAGAAATCTGCATTGTCTGGTCTTGGAAAGGCATCCTTTTCAATAGAGTGGCACACTGTGTCTGACTGGTCCCGAGCTGGAAATGCCACAGAGAGCAACGATGACAAATTCCTAATGGATTAATCAAGGCATGCAGGAGTGAGAGTGATGGTGAGCACTGGTCGCTTTGGTTTGTGTCCTACCGTGGGCTGACATTGCTGGGAGAACATTTGGCTGTTCGGGGGGATGAGCATGCTGTGTTTCTCATTCCCGGGATTTATTTTAATGAGGTAGCGCACCACGATGGATTACTACACCGGCATATAGACCGACTCCTGTTGCCGTGTGGATATTGGAATCCTCAGAGGACACTGAGTTCAGCAGGAGATTTATGTGCAGCTCATGAATTACTACAGCTGTGAATTGGTTCTTAGATAGTAAGTTGTAAGAAATAGTAGGTGTATCTAATTTCCCCCATCACATAGCTCGTTGTAACTCGTAAAGATCCAAGTTTGCCCGAGCGCATCTACAATGCAAATTACGAACATCAGTGCTGTTTTGGATGACCTTCAGATCACAAACCGTAACTGTGACGATATATTTTAAATGGAACTAATGCGTGCAACGCCCTGGACTATGCATATATGCAGTATATATGCAGTATGAAAAATGTATGCACTCACTAACTGTAAGTCGCTCTGGATAAGAGCGTCTGCTAAATGACTAAAATGTAAAATGTAAATATAGACCTACAGTCTTTTTGCCACTACATTCTACCCATGTACTCTGACTAGTGATGGGATTGTTCAGCAATCTTATCACGTCATAACACTCACATTAAGTGGTCTGGCTGTCAGATGTCGGTTATGCTATTTCCACCAGATACCCAGAAAGCTTGACTGATACCGTAGGGGGATACAGTCTTTAATGTGGCTCAGGTATGTAAGCTCACCCCCTTAAGCTATAGTGAAGGGAAACACCAGGCATGCTAGTGGAAAGTAGACATGAGTGACGAGTCTAACGACTGTCTATGCATCTACAATGGACACATCAGACTATATGGAGACCCCATCTGATTACATTGTGGCGCCACCCGAGCTGGGTGTCCTCCCCACAATCTGACCAATCTCTTTCCCCAATTACTGCAGTAGGCTGGTGGCCTATTTGCTTGTTGATGCGCACAGGGATGGCACGCTCAGCTAGACGAGGACGCCGGCGAGGCAAAGAAGGCGTGTGTAGAGGAGCAGGGAACGAATGTTGATTCACTTTGTCTCTGTGGCTGGATGGGTCTTAGTCTAGCCAGGCTAGGTACTCAGTAATGCTACATTTCCAAGTCTGTGTGCCAAATGGCCCCTTATTCCCTACATAGTGTGCTACTGTTGACCAGGGCCCATAGGGTTCTAGTTAAGACTAGTGCACCAGGTAGGGAATAGGGTGCCATTTGGGACGCAGTTCAAGTGTAATTAGGATGTCTGATGATTAGTGATGATTTATTGTTTAATCTTTCATAATGCAGGCTGTCTGTCTTGTCTTTTGAAGGGTGTTTTTCTTCTGGATCCTTGTTCTGCTTAGAGGATCATATCTCATTGCGAATTTAATTGCGTGCGTCTGTCAAATGGAATCACTTGAGTCATTAGTTAAGAGTGTTTTTGTGTAAGCGCATAAGTGTGTGTGTGTGTGTGTATATCCTTTGGTTAAGGTATGTCAGTGTGTTCAGTGCACACAGTGTAGGTTAGGACTGTATAGTACCTGTATACAAATGTATCTCATTAGTATGATGTATGGGTTTGTGTGTGTGTATGGGCTCTCTGTCATCCCCCTTTCCACCCGTAGCACAAATTATGCATTAACTATATGTGTAAATACATAATAAAGTTGACATTCTATATCTATCTCAGAAAGAGACATCCACATAGCAGAGAGAGATGCTGTAGTATGGGAATCGTTGCAAAGGTATAAGACAGTGTCTCCCACCTTGAGAGATAAATAGAGAGTGAGAGAGGGAGAGGAGGGGATGAGGATGAAGGAGCTGGGGGCGGTTGAAATAATATTTGGGAGAAAAAAGTAAACATGAGACTCTAGTGATCTGTGCTCTGAGAGAGAAGAGAAGGTAATAACACCATGAGCCTCAGTCTGTCTTCTGTAAAGCACTATCACATTCTTTGTGCTTCACTATAAAGACATTACTGGGTGGTATGGGGTATGAATGAAAAAGTCTGCCTTTTGTTTTGTTCAAGTCAGAGACAGAATCCTAACCCCCCTCCCTGCCCAGCGCCCCATAGATGAAGACCCCCAAAGAAAAACAAAGAGAGCCATTGTTTTTGGGCAGCTTGGTGGAACGATAGCGTACCCCTCAAAAAACCCAAAACAGCAATAGGGGAGGCCTCAAAGTCTCAAAGCAGAGTTGACACCCAATAGGGTGAATGACAACCTAGTTATTAGAGCAAAGGATTCTGGGATGGAGAAGGGAGGGGTTTACGCATTCACAGACAGACATGGACGGAGTCTTTTCATTGGAGAGAACAGTGTCACTCTTTGTTATTGTTGGAGGTCACAGATGCACGCTGTGGATGAGGACCGTTGTATTGGGCAGAGTTGGCGGGGGGATGGATGGCACCATCACCACCACTGAGGTGACAGTCAGGGAGGGCTTAGAGCTGTCCCCTTGGTCTCACTGTGACAGACATGCCTGGGTGACATCACTGCTTCCTTGTTCCCTACCCTGCTGAGTGCCAATTAAACAGCCCCTCCCTCTACCAGTCTCCAGGGTCGTATTCATTAGGCACCAAACGGACTGAAACAGGGAGGGGCTACCTGGACTTGTCCAATAACAAAGGCTTACTTCTGTTGTAATTTGCAAAACATTTTTCTATGGTGTGCTATAATGAATACGAACCAGGCCTTTGTGTCTCACAGAAAGGCATCGGAGTAAAGTCTGTTGACATAAAAAAACAGGATGTTCTGTGGCCGATGATAAGGCATGTTGTTTGCCATTATGTACGCCCACCAATTATCTCTCCATGGCACTGGCTGTCATGTATCACAGTTTCCCACGTCCTGTCTGTCTGAATCATCCGCTCATCATGACTTCCAGTCACATCTCTCTTTGTCTAATCTAGGGATTGATGGAGACACTTACAATTGCCGCTCTCGGCTGGGTTATGAAGAACCCTTGTGTGTGTGAGTACACATCTGAAAGAGGTCAACTGTATGCCATTGATTCATCACAGTATTTGAGTATCTGAGTCCGCTCTCACACGTCACTATCAGACCATCTCATTCCCAACCGCGATGAGATTGAACGGCCTCTCTGATTGGTGGGCGGTGATGGTGTCGCTTGTCGTCCGTCTCCAATTTCAAGGAGAACGTCGCCCGTAGCGCCCGTTTCCTCTAACCTTGATTCCATTAACACTTCCCCGAATCTCCAACAAAGAGAAGGCAATTTCCTCTGATTGCCTCTCCCTCTCTCTGTGTCCTTGATAACTGGAGTGAAATGGAGCTTCAATAGAGCCTCAATGGCCTTGTGGGGAAGTGAGTTCTCCAGCTTGGCACCAATGGAACATTGACTTTGAGTTTACAGTAAAACCAATGGAGTCTGTAATAGTGTTCAGAGTTAAATGAAGTTGTGATGTGATTTTTGACCCGCTGACTGATACACCAGGATATCCAGCAAGCCGGTACCATACTAGTCTCTTTGTGATTAGATGATGTTGGCCATGGTCGAAAGCAGTCATCTTGCCTGAGGGTTTATCTCTGTAAATGTCAAGAGGGATGCACATTGGCAATAAAGTCGACAGCAACCAATAAACATATTTTCGAACAATCAAAGAGGCTAGTGTTGGGTGCCATATGGAGTCACATGTTGGACTGCAAATGGACACAGGCACGTTTGACACCCTTGTTCTAAACATGGGTGTTACAAGGGTGTTAGAATACCTATTATTTGCTTCAGGATAATTTTTTAAGTAATAGTTTAGATGTCTGTTTTATCTCCTCTTAGCAATGCAGACAGTTTTTTCCTGGCGCACAGTCAAACTGCAGCTTTCCCTTTCTTGTTAACTGCTGATATCACATTGGACTATCCAGCAGCGGAGTATGAGGAAGTAAGCACAGTGTTGTGCCGTTTTTGGAGTTATTGGAGCCAATCAGAACAGACTATATCAACTTTTGCTTCTGTTACCGAGGGTAAGAAGCAATCTGTTTCTGTTCCTATGAGATAATATTTTTCATAACGACCAAAGCTACTATACATTGTGGGGATCGCTAATTCACACTCGTCACAAGACATTGACACCTGCATCTCTCCAAACTCTTCTTTGGCTAAATTTCTTGACCTCAAGTCCCCTTTGTTACACCAGTGCTTAGCTTGCCATTACAACTTGGTGTAGTGCAGAATGAAGAAGGGCCTTGTCATTGTCAGAGACGGTCCCCGGGCAGTGTCTGTTTGTTCCCCTAGTGTAAGAGGTGGATGGTTGACTGACATCTTATTATGGGAACATGTTTCCTTCTGACAGGCCTCTTATTCAACAGAGAGGATGATAAGAGAAAATGTCTGCCTGACCCAAGTAATACACCTTCATACTTCCGTCTCAACTTATCTTAAATGGGTTTGAGATATAAGTTGCCTACAGTAGGCCCAGATCTAGGACCAGTTTTTCTAACCTCCATTCTAACCCTAATCATTTCAGAGGGGAATAAGCAAAACATCACCCAAGATTAGTACTCAGGGAAAGCCTTGATCTTAGGGATATCATCTATCTCCTCTTTAGATAGCATGAAGATACAGAGGATCAAAATTGAACATTAACAGTTAATGAGTCATGAAAACCATCATCGAAACCCATCATCGAAACCCATCATTGAAACCCATCATTGAAACCCATCATTGAAACCCATCATTGAAACCCATCATCGAAACCCATCATTGAAACCCATCATTGAAACCCATCCCCCCATTTAAATCTGTATCACTCTGTTTCTTTTAGTTTCTCTGTACGTTTCACACACTCCGACTCCAGGCCCAAATTATGAAGCAGATGTTTTCCTTGTGGGTGTGCATGTCTGTGTGAGAGTATTTGAGGTGCATCTCTGTCTTTATTTTACAAATAGAGCAATCTCTGGACTACTAAACCAGATGTGTAATCCAGGTGCGGAACTTGTTTTAGAAGTGTGGGGGACACAACCTGGCCGTCCTTTTGCCGTATTCTTTGCATTCGTACAGCCATTCACCCAGCCTCCCTGCACACTCCAATGTGTCCATGTGGTCCTAAATACAGCCCTCTAAAACTGCTAAACAGCCTCCAGAGGCGTCCGTATGGTCCTAAAGCACGCCGGCGCTGCTTTTTGTATCACAGTGAAATTATAAAACTCAAACAAAAACTAAACTACAGAATGTCTGGGCATCCCGTCCCTAATTCCACCCATGGTTTAATCTCTGCTTGTCTATGTGTTTCAATATGTGTGAAATACATCCAGTCATCTTATTCAGTCACGGAGGCACTTTGTGACTTATAACCTATAATTTACGTTCTCCGAATGTTATAAAATCTCCCAGGAAAACCTTCAGGGAACCATAATAAAATGTTCTCAGAACCTCCCTGCAACCTAAATATGAATGTTCCCAGAACAGGCAAAATGTTCACTTCCGTTCTCTGAACGTTTAACCCTTTGACGCGTATGATCACGTATTTGTGATCATTGTTGAGTGGTCCCTGCAGCGTACGATCTCAAATATGTAATTGGAACAGTAGCAACAGAACGTAAGACGCAACAAGCGCGTCTAAACAGCATTGTTGTCTGAACAGCATCTAAATATTTTTTTGTACTGATTGAAAATACAGGTCTTAAACTTTATTCCTCAATTTGACCTTTTATTGTAAAAGATAAATGCGAACTTCATCACATGGAACACATCCACAGCCAAACTCATTCCATAAACCAGTCTAAATTACAGGTTGTGCTGACAAAAAACAAAACATAAATTAGTGACCTAACAGCTAGAATAGTTTACAATGTACCACATCTCTGGTGAGCTTAAGAGGCTAATGTAATGTTGTTTGGAAAATAAATGTGTGTCAGCTAAGCTAACAACAGCTAAATTCTTTATGATGGCAGCCATGTTTGTTTATGTTTGACTTGGTGAAAACTCACAATCCCAGAATGCCATTCACTATAAGACGCAAATAAACAAAGTCAAAGATGGCTGCGCTCATTGCCTGAAAAATATGAACTTAGTTTATCCACTTTTCAGCATATTACAAATCGTCAATGTACTTGTTACAGTGTATACAAGAACCGGAGCACATCACTTGACAAGTCGTTTACCGTTTTTGACAAATCACAAAGCAAATCAAATGTTTTCACCTCACAGATCATCACACCAAATATAAGCCTACTGCCTAGCCTAACCATAGCGCGAAAGCTAAACAGGGATGAAACCATTTTGGGGGGGTTTATGGGGGGGTTCATTTAATTTGTGTGGGGTTTTCAAGTCCATGGTGGTAGAAATGGGGAAAGGTATCATGGGGGGATATGATGCAGGAAATATTACTATGATGGGGGATTTATCAATAAATGGGGGGCAAACATAAGAGAAGTTTATATGCTAAATGGAAATAAAACCCCTGGAAAGGGGGGTCTGAGCTAGCAACCCTGAGATACCAAAGTTACCATCTGATGCCGTGTTCAAAACAACTGGGAACTGGGAAATCTCTGACTTCCGACTTCAGTGCGTTCAAGACAAGTGGGAACTCGGGAAAAAACGAGGTCCAACAGGTAAAAATAGTTTAGAACGGTCATCCAACTTGGAATTCCATCTCGGGAACAGGCCTCTTTCTAGAGCTCCGACTTTCCAACATGAAGATCATTGACGTCATGATTTTACCGAGTTCACAGTTGTCTTGAAAGCACCATAAGTCAGTCGATGGAACTCTACCTTGTTATAAAATGTTTGGTCTGACAGACGCTTACGTGACAACCAGAATGCATTGTATGATGTCAACAAACATGGCGCCAACATACAGTGGGGAAAAAAAGTATTTAGTCAGCCACCATTTGTGCAAGTTCTCCCACTTAAAAAGATGAGAGAGGCCTGTAATTTTCATCATAGGTACACGTCAACTATGACAGACAAATTGAGAGAAAAAAAATCCAGAGAATCACATTGTAGGATTTGTAATGAATTTATTTGCAAATTATGGTGGAAAATAAGTATTTGGTCACCTACAAACAAGCAAGATTTCTGGCTCTCACAGACCTGTAACTTCTTCTTTAAGAGGCTCCTCTGTCCTCCACTCGTTAGCTGTATTAATGGCACCTGTTTGAACTTGTTATCAGTATAAAAGACACCTGTCCACAACCTCAAACAGTCACACTCCAAACTCCACTATGGCCAAGACCAAAGAGCTGTCAAAGGTTTCCTACCCACAGGAAAAAAAAAAAAAAGAAAAAAAAAAAGGTATCCATTCACTAACTGTAAGTCGCTCTGGATAAGAGCGTCTGCTAAATGACTAAAAAACAAAACAAAAACAAAAAACGGACACCAGAAACAAAATTGTAGACCTGCACCAGGCTGGGAAGACTGAATCTGCAATAGGTAAGCAGCTTGGTTTGAAGAAATCAACTGTGGGAGCAATTATTAGGAAATGGAAGACATACAAGACCACTGATAATCTCCCTCGATCTGGGGCTCCACGCAAGATCTCACCCCGTGGGGTCAAAATGATCACAAGAACGGTGAGCAAAAATCCCAGAACCACACGGGGGGACCTAGTGAATGACCTGCAGAGAGCTGGGACCAAAGTAACAAAGCCTACCATCAGTAACACACTACGCCGCCAGGGACTCAAATCCTGCAGTGCCAGACGTGTCCCCCTGCTTAAGCCAGTACATGTCCAGGCCCGTCTGAAGTTTGATAGAGTGCATTTGGATGATCCAGAAGAGGATTGGGAGAATGTCATATGGTCAGATGAAAGCAAAATAGAACTTTTTGGTAAAAACTCAACTCGTCGTGTTTGGAGGACAAAGAATGCTGAGTTGCATCCAAAGAACACCATACCTACTGTGAAGCATGGGGGTGGAAACATCATGCTTTGGGGCTGTTTTTCTGCAAAGGGACCAGGACGACTGATCCGTGTAAAGGAAAGAATGAATGGGGCCATGAGATTTTGAGTGAAAACCTCCTTCCATCAGCAAGGGCATTGAAGATGAAACGTGGCTGGGTCTTTCAGCATGACAATGATCCCAAACACAACGCCCAGGCAACGAAGGAGTGGCTTCGTAAGAAGCATTTCAAGGTCCTGGAGTGGCCTAGCCAGTCTCCAGATCTCAACCCCATAGAAAATCTTTGGAGGGAGTTGAAAGTCTGTGTTGCCCAGCGACAGCCCCAAAACGTCAATGCTCTAGAGGAGATCTGCATGGAGGAATGGGCCAAAATACCAGCAACAGTGTGTGAAAACCTTGTGAAGACTTACAGAAAACGTTTGACCTGTGTCATTGCCAACAAAGGGTATATAACAAATTATTGAGAAACTTTTGTTATTGACCAAATACTTATTTTCCACCATAATTTGCAAATAAATTCATAAAAAATCCTACAATGTGATTTTCTGGATTTTTTTTCCTCAATTTGTCTGTCATAGTTGACGTGTACCTATGATGAAAATTACAGGCCTCTCTCATCTTTTTAAGTGGGAGAACTTGCACAATTGGTGGCTGACTAAATACTTTTTTTCCCCACTGTACATATGGTGTGCTACAGCAGAAACGACAACACGATATACAGAAAATAAGCCACATACTTTGATAGGAACGCACACATGTCCAAAGTCCAATTTGTAAGGAAAATGCGGACTCCAGCCAGAAAATGTGCTGGGGGAAAACGTTTGTGCAAGGCCTGTGCTGACTAGAGATGTGCAATGTCTTCATACTTGATCTGTGGAAACACTGTGGAAGTGCTTGGGCTCTTGTTGAAGAGAGAAGTTTGTCCGCTCAGTAAAGCCTCAAACATAAATTGTCCGCAACAGTGAAATGGGTTACTTCTTATGTGAATTAACGAGGAGGCGGAACATACCTCAATTCAAACTGTTGTTAGAAAATACAACTTTGAAATTGACAAGTTGAAACATAGCCTATAGATAATTAACAGGCAACATGCCTTGGTTTTAGGGCAGCACGGGGTAACTGTCCTGTTGCATAACAATCACATTTAAGAACATTCTAAACATGGAATGTTGAGAAATACACAAAAGTAAGCAAAGAATCCTCTGTCTGATTCCTACCATTGATGATGATATTTGATAGCCTTGCAGGAAAGTACTGATGTCCCTGTGCCATCTATGGTCTGGACTCATTTAACAAAAATGTATCATCTTGGATAGCAGAAGCAAGTCTAGTCTAGTCTAGTCTTGGGGTTGTTGCCACCAAAACTTAGTTACTAATCAACATTGGTGCCTAACATCCAAACATTATAACACTCTAAATTCTACTAAAGTTGCTCTTTTAGATTGTGATATCATCCTATTCAAATGTTATTGTATTCTTATCAATAGAATCACCATGGTAATGAAATAGAATGGATTTCAAATCCACAAGTCGCTCTAATCAACCAAACGTTCTAAATTCAAACATTATGGGTGTGTTCGTAAATTCAAATGTAAAAACAATGTAATTACGCTTTTTTTGCCAACGCTTACAAACACCGGCCATATTCAACAGGTGTTGAGCGTTTGTAAATTAATCAGTTATTCTGCACTCTTGCACACTGAGACGAGAGTGCTCTGAAATCGGAGTAGATGGCCAGAGTGAATTTATGTGCATCATGTGAAGTCAGTTTTACATTGACTTCTCACTAACACTGGCAGAGTTGCAACAATAACCCAGATATGTTGGGCCCCGTGTAGCTCAGTTGGTAGAGCATAGCGCTTGCAACGCCAGGGTTGTGGGTTCAATTCCCACGGGGGGCCAGTATTAAAAAATAGTATAAAAAAGTATAAAAAAGGAAAAAGGAAAGAAAAATATAAATGAAATGAAAAAATTTGAAGAAAATGTTTTTTAAAAAGGTATGCTCTCACTAACTGTAAGTCGCTCTGGATAAGAGTGTCTGCTAAATGACTAAAATGTAAATGTAATGTTGTTATATGCAATTGGCCACTCATTGTATTTTTGCTTAATTGTAGAAATATGAACAACTATACCAGTAACCCCCCCCCCCCCCCCCCCCCCCCCACACCCCACACACACACACACACACTCTCCCCTCCTGCGTGGACCCAGGAACTCCTCTAGCATTGTATCTTCAGACAGTGAGATGGCTCTATCGGTCTTGCATGGCCGCCCCCTACCACAAAGCATGACAAATGAGGACGGCCTCTCTCTCATTACCTGTACGGTAATCACTGTGTAGCTGATAAGAGAACAGCTGTTATTGACACCATTTATGTAACGCCAGCCACTCTACACACAAGTACTTCCATCCTGTGCAAAGGAATGGCCTGCAGAGAAGGCCAATTCTGCCATTTTGTGTGTTTATTTTACGCTGAGCTCAACTTTTTTTGTACATAATATTTCCGCCATAATTTCCTATGACCAAAAACAGCTTCTGGACATCAGAACAGTGATCACTAACCTAGATTTGAATGAAAATGTCTACTTTAACAAGTCGACAGCTGTGGATGTACTGCTCATCCCGGACCAGGCCCTAATCCCCGGGACTCAAAAGAGGAAGAGCAAGAGAGGCAAACGAGCGGTCTCCCTGATGAGACTACGTCGATGACTAAATAGACCACTTCTACCCTCCGTTCTATTGGCAAAATTACAATCACTAGAGAACAAACTGGACGAGCTCAGTTCGAAACTATCCTATCAACGGGACCTGAATAACTGTAATATCCTATGTTTCTCTGTGTCTTGGCTGAACAAGGATATGGATAATATACATTCTAGCTCTAGGTTTTTCTATGCAACGTCAAGACCGAACAGCAGCTTCGGGTAAGGTTAAGGCTGGTGCGGGAAATATCATTATACTTGGGTAAACTATTTATTTTTAGAGTAATATCAGTAGAAACGTTCAGGACCCTCGTAGGACCTTCGTAAGGCATCATAGTAAAATTGAGGGATGTATTGCAAAAGGAAATACAGAAATGGCATGATAATGGGAAAGATGGGTTAACCTGTGGACATCGGAGGGGTTGGAGTTAAGATCAGAATTAATGGTGGATTGGCCGCTGTGGGTGAAAATCCAGCACTTGAAGAAAGAGGAAATTAGGAATCAATGTAGAATTATTTAACTACAGGTACCATAGATGTGAATGAAATAGCTGTAAGTAGCAGTAGAAGTATTGTTGTCCATTAGTTTATTCCAATGTGGGTAGGGATGGTAGGGTAAGGGGGTAAAACGTATAGAGAATAAAACATTTTTTAAATGAGGGGGATTAGAAAATGATGCATTCAATTTAATTGATACAACCTACAATCTATCTGCAATATTAAAGCTGATCTACCTTATGATAAACTGCAGACCATACTATTTACCAAGAGAGTTTTCATTAATTTTTTTCGTAGCTGTCTATTTACCAGCACAAACCAATGCTGGCAGTAACACTGCACTCAACGAGCTGTATAGGGCCATAAGCAAAAAAGAAAATGCACATCCAGAGGCAGCGCTCTTAGTGGCCAGTGATTTTAATGCAGCGAAACTGTTTTACCTCATTTTTACCAGCATGTCACCTGTGCAAGTAAAGGCGAAATAACTGTAGATAACCTTTATTCCACACACAGAAATGCATACAAAGCTCTCCCTCGCTGTCCATTTGGCAAATTTGACCATAACTCTATCCTCCTGATTCCTGCTTACAAGCAAAAACTCAAACAGGAAGTACCAGTGATGCGCTCAATATGAAAGTGGTCCGATGAAGCGGATACTAAGCTACAGGACTATTTCACTAGCACAGACTGTAATATGTACCGGGATCAACCAATAAAATTGAGGAGTTTACCAGTCACCAGCTTCATTAATAAGTGCATTGACGACTTCGTCCTCACAGTATCGGCCCCACATATCCCAACCAGAATCCATGGATTACAGGCAACATCTGCACCGAGCTAAAGGCTAGAGCTGCCACTTTAAAGGAGTGGGACACTAATCCGGACACTTATAAGAAATCCCGCTACGACCTCCGACAAGCCATCAAACAATCAAAACGTCAATACAGGACTAAGATCGAATCCTACTATAACGGCTCTGATGCTCGTCGGTTGTGGCAGGGCTTGCAAATGATCACGGATTACAAAGGGAAAACCAGCCGCGAGCTGTCCAGTGACGCGAACCTACCAGACAAGATAAATTCCTTCTATGCACGCTTCGAGGCAAGCAATGCTGAACAATGCATGAGAGCACCAGCTGTTCCGGACGACTGTGTGATCTCGCGCTCCATAGCTGCTCTGAGTAAGACCTTCAAACAGGTTATCAAGTCCACGGGGCCAGATGGATTACCAGGACGCATACTCAGAGTATGCGCTGACCAGCTGGCAAGTGTCTTCACTGACATTTTCATCCTTTTCCTGACCCAGTCTGTAATACCTACATGTTTCAAGCAAACCACCATAGTCCCTGTGCCCAATAACGCTAAGGTAACCTGTCTAAATGACTGTCGCCACGTAGCACTCACATCTGTAGCAATGAAATGCTTTGAAAGGCTGGTCATGGCTCACATCAACACCATCATCCCAGACACCCTGGACCCACTCCAATTCGCATACCGCCCCAACAGATCCACAGATGATGCAATCTCTATTGTACTCCACACTGCCCTTTCCCACCTGGACAAAAAGGAACACCTACGTGAGAATGCTGTTCATTGACTATAGCTCAGCATTCAACACGATAATGCCCTCCAAGCTCATCACTAAGCTCAGGACAATGGGACTGAACACCTTCCTCTGCAACTGGATCCTGGACTTCCTGACAAGCAACCCCCAGGTAGCCTCACTAGGCAACAACACATCCGCCATGCTGACCCTCAACACGGGGGCCCCTCAGGGGTGCGTGCTTAGTCCCCTCTTGTGGTCCTCTGTAGCTCAATTGGTAGAGCATGGCGCTTGTAACGCCAGGTTAGTGGGTTCGATCCCCGGGACCACCCATACGTAAAAATGTATGCACACATGACTGTAAGTCGCTTTGGATAAAACCGTCTGCTAAATGGCATATTATTATTATTATTACTCCCTGTTCACCCACTACTGTGTGGCCGCACACGACTCCAACACATCATTAAGTTTGCTGATGACACGATGGTGATTGGCCTGATCACCGATGATGATGAGACAGCCTATAGGGAGGAGGTCAGTGACCTGGCAGTGTGATGCCAGGACAACAACCTCTCCCTCAACGTCAGCAAGACAAAGGAGCTGTTCGTGGACTACAGGAAACAGAGGGCCAAGCACATCCCCTTCCAAATCAACAGGGCTGTAGTGGAGCAGGTTGAGAGCTTCAAGTTCCTTGGTGTCCACATCACTAAGGAATTATCATGGTCCACACACATCAACACAGTCGTGAAGAAGGCATAACAATGCCTCTTCCCCCTCAGGAGGCTGAAAATATTTGTTTTGGGCTCTCTGATCCTCAAAAGGTTATACAGCTGCTCCATTATGAGCAACTTGACTGGCTGCATCACCACTTGGCATGGTAACTGCTTGGCATCCGACCACAAGGCGCTACAGAGGGTAGTGCGTACTGCCCAGTACATCACTGGGGCCGAGCTCCCTGCCATCCAGGACCTCTATACCAGGGATTGTCAGAGGAAGGCCTTATCCTGTTGCCTAGTCACTTCATCCCTACCTATATGTACATACACTGACTATACAAAACATTACAGTTCTTTCCATGACATAGACTGACAAGGTGAATCCAAGTGAAAGCTATGATCCCTATTTGATTGTTAAATCCACTTCAATCAGTGTAGATTAAGGGGAGAAGACAGGTTGAAGAAGGATTTTTAAGCCTTAAGACAATTGAGACATGGATTATGTGTCACACCCTGACCTTAGAGATCCCTTTTATTTCTCTATTTTGGTTAGGTCAGGGTGTGATTTGGGTGGGCATTCTAGTTTTTCAATTTCTTTGTTGGCCGGGTATGGTTCCCAATCACACATCGTTGTCTCTGATTGGGGATCATACTTAGGCAGCCGTTTTCCCACCTTAGTTTGTGGGATCTTGGTTTTGTGTAGTGGCTTTGTAGCCTGCAGTACTTTACGTTCGTGTGTATTATTGTTGTTTGGTCTGTGTTCATTTATTGAATTAAAATGTTTGCCTACCACGCTGCACCTTGGTCCGAGCCGTCAATCCACGAGCGTGACAGAAGATCCCACCACAAACGGACCAAGCAGCGTGGCCAGGAGGAACAGACACCCTGAACACAGGTGGGGAAGACATTCTGGACCTGGAAGGAGATATTGGCCGGAAAGGGACCCTGGGAGAAGGAGGAGACCCAGGCAGGAAGGGATCGCCTTCCATGGGAGCAGACGAAGGCAGCGAGGGAGGATCAACGGCGACTCCGTAGTTAACGACCACGACGGAAGCCCGAGAGGCAGCCCCAAATATTTTTTTGGGGGGGCACACGGGGTGGTTGGCGGAGCCAGGTTTCAGACCAGAGCCAACTCCCCGCACTCACTTTAAGGAGCGTGTGACCGTTCAGGCACCCTGTTATGCGGTGACACGCACTCTGTCTCCAGTGCGCATTCACAGCCCGGTGCGCTTGGTGCCAGCACCCGCACTTGCCGGGCTAAAGTGAGCATCCAGCCAGGACGGGTTGTGCCGGCTCAGCGCTCCTGGTCTCCAGTACGCCTTCTCGGTCCAGTATATCCTGCGCCGGCTCTACGCACTGTGTCGCCAGTGCGCCTTCACAGCCCAGTGCGTCCTGTGCCCGCGCCCCGCACTTGCCGGGCTAAAGGGAGCATCCAGCCAGGACGGGTTGTGCCAGCTCTACGTACTGTGTCGCCAGTGCGCCTTCACAGCCCAGTGCATCCTGTGCCAGCGCCCCGCACTTGCCGGGCTCCAGTGATGATCCATGGCCCGAAGGCCCCAGTGAAGGTCCATGGCCCAAAGCCTCCAGTGAAGGTCCATGGCATGAAGCCTCCAGTGATGATCCATGGCACGAAGCCTCCAGTGATGATCCATGGCACGAAGCCTCCAGTGATGATCCATGGCACGAAGCCTCCAGTGATGATCCATAGCACGAAGCCTCCAGTGATGATACATGGCACGAAGCCTCCAGTGAAGGTCCATGGCCCGGAGCTTCCTGCGACGGTCTGCAGTCCAGAGCCTCCAGCGACGTTCTGCAGTCCAGAGTCTCCAGCGCCGGTCGGCAGTCCAGAGTCTCCTGCAACGGTCGGCAGTCCAGAGTCTCCAGCGACGGTCGGCAGTCCAGAGTCTCCAGCGACGGTCGGCGGTCCGGCTCCTCCGGTGATGACCCACGGTCCGGAGCTTCCGGCGACGGTCCGGAGTCTCCGGCGACGACCCACGGTCCGGTTCCTCCGGCGACGATCCACAGTCCGGAGCTACCGGCGACGATCGACGGTCCGAAGTCTCTGGCGACGATCCACGGTCCGGAGCTACCGGCGACGATCCACGGTCCGGAGTGTCCGGTGACGACCCACGGTCCGGTTCCTCTGGTGACGATCCACGGTCCGGAGCTTCCGGCAACGATCTACGGTTCGGAGTGCCAGGCGACGATCCACAGTCCGGGTCCTCCGGCGACGATCCACGGTCCGGAGCTTCCGGCGACGATCTACGGTCCGGAGCTTCCGGCGACGATCTACGGTTCAGAGTGCCAGGTGACGATCTACAGTCCTGGTCTTCCGGCGACGATCCACGGTCCGGAGCTTCCGGCGACGATCTACGGTTTGGAGTGCCAGGCGACGATCCACAGTCCGGGTCCTCCGGCAACGATCCACGGTCCGGAGCTTCCGGCGACGATCTACGGTTCGGAGTGCCAGGCGACGATCCACAGTCCGGGTCCTCTGGCGACGATCCACGGTCTGGAGCTTCCGGCGACGATCCCCGCACCAGAGGTGCCACCGAAGATGGCGGAGTGGGGTCTACATCCCGCACCGGAGCCGCCACCGAGGCTAGATGCCCACCCGGGGGGGGGGTGCTTTTGGTATACTCAGTGTATTATCTACCTCAATTACCTCGTACCCCTGGGCGGCAGGTAGCTTAGAGGGTAAGAGCGTTGTGCCAGTAACCGAAAGGTTGCTGGTTCTAATCTCCGAGCCGACTAGGTGAAAAATCTGTCGATGTGCCCTTAAGCAAGGCACTTAACCCTAATTGCTCCTGTAAGTCGCTCTGGATAAGAGCGTCTGCTAAATGACAAAAAATAAATAAATAATCAACTCGGTACTGGTACCCCATGTATGTAGCCAAGTTATTGTTACTCATTATGTATTTATTCTTCGTGTTATTATTTTTATATTATTTCTCTCTGCATTGTTGGGAAGGGCATTTCACTGTTAGTCTACACCCGTTGTTTATGAGGCATATGACATAAAATTTGATTTGATTTTAATGTAATTGGTCAAACCCAATGATCCTTGAACTATTGACCTCTTGCATGTTTCGATTGCACTCTTGTGCTATAGAGCATAGTATAGATCAAGCCACTTTCAATTTCAATACACGCACGCAAATAAACACACACACACACACTCTCTCTCTCTCATGGATGCAGTCGTACATCAAGATTGTCCTAGCTGGCCAGACACCGGGGTTGTTGTGAAAGTTGCTGTGTTGGCTGGGCCTGAAATAGTCATGCATCGTGGGGTTTGTCCTCAGCCCCAGCTCCCAAGGGGAGCCCCAGGATAAAGTGAGATAAGAGCCCCACTGAGGAGCACTGTTCTGGGCTTGGCTACCGCTGCTGCTGCCTTGTCCTCCATGCTCCCCCCGCAGGCCTGTTTGTGTAGCTTTAATGACAGAGTTAACCTTGGCATGACTGAGCATGTCAGAAACAGAGCAACCCCATTACAAAGCACTGAGTCAACACCACGGTGAATGGAGCAACTCTGGGGTGAACTGAGGGGCATTTAGCATACACCATCACTCTTATGCAGAATCTTTTGACAAACTATTATGGCACAATAGCCTGGTTAATGGACAGTTGCTTCGCCCCATTCAGGCTTTTCACAAACTGACAGTGTCAGCGATGTCTGAGCATCACAGACAAAACATCAACAATAGCATTTGTTCAAACCTGCCTCTTTAAGCTATGGAACTACGGAAGTTTCCACAGAGGCATTGTGCGTGTGTGTGTATCTGTGTGTGTGTGTGTGTGTTTTGAGGGGACGATGGCGGGATTGGGGATTTCGGTGCCTCCTGGTATTCAGATGTCTCGGTCGGAGGCTCGGCTTGTCACACTGATTAGTCATACAGGCAGATGTGGTTGGTCGGTGGGTTGCATAATTTGTCCCAGATGTAAAGCGTGTGTGTGAGTGTGTGTATGCGCGTTTGTGTGTGTGTGTGTGTGCAGGGCTGAGCACTGAGCTGGAAGATTTTACTCTCTAAAGTCTCCAGTGCTTCATTTTTTTCCTGCTTTGACCCATCAGCTCTGCTGCTTTTAAAAACGGGAATTTCCAGTTTCAGATGGGAGGGTTGTCTGACGGTTAGGAGAGCTGGAATAATTCCTGGAGTTTCCTAAGTTGTTGAGACACTTCTTGGAGTCAGTTGTAGACGTTTCGTGGACAATGTTTTCTTTCCTAAGGTCACAACCCTAGAAATGTTTTCTAACTGCTGACTGCAGTGGCTTATCGGAGTCCCCTACTCCTCTCTCTCTCCTTCTCGCTCTCTCTCTCTCTCTCTCTCTCCCTCCCTCAACCCCCTCAGATGAAGATGCATGGTGCTTGTCAGAACCATTATCACTGTTCACTGTGAAAAATAGAAAAGATGGCTTCAATTTCCGAGTCGCCACGACCGCAAAAGTCTGGAATTTGTATTTAGCAGGGGACAAAAAAACTCTGACTTTTACATTTCTGTTATCTTTTATCTTTTACATTCCTCCTCCTCTCGCTCTCCTCGCTCTTTATGGCTTTTAAAAGCAGCTTATCCTTCGCTCTCCCTCATCCGGAGTTGATTGTGAATGACAGGAGTGAAAGCCCGAGCAGGTTGAATGTCAATAGCCCATTAAATGCTGTTTGGTAGAGTGTTTGTGTGTGTGTTTGCGGTAATATACAGACTTTGTCAAATCTTTGTATTGGCCTACATTGAGTCGTGCGTGACCGAAACATGGTGACGGGCATGAACACCCGCAGCCAAAACCAACTTGCAGCCAAAACCAACTGAACGTTTTTAAGTCTAGATCAAAACGATACAAAACGTCACCCATACCATACTTCTGTTCTCTAATTAATGATTAATTCATTATAATTTTTGAACGCTCATGGATTTCAGTTTGTATTGACTGCTATGTGAGTGTAATAACAACTTGAAACTTGAACTTGGGTGATGCATTTCATCCATTAAAGGTGCATATTACCTGCCACCTAACTCTATTATACTGGATTTGATTAAATAGGTTGTATTGTTGGATATTCTCTGTTTTTAAAATAAGCTCTTGTTCTTTTTAATGATTAAGTCAGTGTGCTTTAGTTTCATTGGCTGAAACCTTAACCTTGCCTATGTGTTCCAAAATCCCAGATGTGATTATATTCTGTATAATTGAACAAGGAACTTCGCATGAATAGCCTACATTTATTTTGAACAATGTTTCTGTCAGTTTCTTGAATATTTAATTTGCCCTCGAGGAAGGTCCATTTGCATAGATACTGAAAAATCCTCGCAAATGTGTATTTTATTTTACTCGATTTATCGCTGGAATATGTTTCCCAGCTGCTAGCTCATCTGTGTTATCAGCTGTTTAGCATTTCGCTAACGTCGTTCCAGGTAGATGGATGTGGGCACCAAACAGGGCGCTCCACCTCACTGTGACCTGGCCTGGATCATCTCAACGGACTGTTAGTCTGTCAGGCTGTCACTCAGATGTGTGCTGTCATGTTTCAGTCCAGCACTCCTCTGCTCCAGCCCTGTGGTGCTTACCAACACATGGAGAGAGAGAGAAAGGGGGAGAGAGAGGAAGAGGGGAATGGAGATGGATAGTGAGAAGAAGAGAAAGATATGGTAAATTAAAGAGAGGTAGGGTGAAAATATGAGAGAGAGAGAGAGACAGAGCGACACAGAGAGAACACAGGAGAGACACAAGAGAGAACAGAGAGAGACAAAGAAGAGAGAGAGAAGAGAGATGAAGAGAGAGAGATAGACAGAGAGACCAGAGAGACAGAGAGAGACAGGCAGAGGAGATAGAGAGCAGAGAGAGACGACGAGAGGCAGAAGACCATAGACAGAGTCTAAAGAGTACATGAAGCCTAGAGAGAAGAATGGACATGAACTACAAGTGGACCATAACAGTAAAACAACAGGAACTCCTGGTAAGTGTGGTACCGAGGAAACATACGGCACTGACTACACTGGGTTGACCAAACATTGTTAATCAGCATTTTGCACCCGCCTTATGTCTACAATCACCCAGAACGGCAGGTCATCAATTAAGACTGGCTGCAGCTGACAAACATTAGCCACCCATCATCCCTCCTCCCCCTCTCCCCCTCTCTCCCCCTTTTGTCCAACTAGTCTCGAAGCTGACCTAGTGGCCCATTGGGTTGAGTGGGTTGAAGCAAACCTCCCACCGGGTTTGGTAAAGAGAGTGTTCATCGAAGTCTCTCTGTAAATGCAAACACGCAAATGCCAACTGCGCAGGAGATGATGCTACGAGTAAATGGCCTGTGTCCCTTTCGCCAGTTCAAATTACAATTACTTTGCAGCCTTTTGGCTTCTGATGGGGAAATCTAGAATAGCGCTAACGCTCAAACCGTGCCCTTTTCTCAAGGTAATCAATGTTTTTAGTGTCAGGCAGTTGCTAGACGACTCCCATAGTTTTTCCTTCCTGTGTCATTGTGGGTCTTGCCTCTGTCCTTGTTGTGTCCACAGGGCTGCCATCGCCTTTAGAGATCCATTAACCATCACCTCTGCACCGTCACACCCAAAAGGCATCATTAGCCTGTTAGTCCTGCTAGCCTCTTAACCCAGGACCATCACATAGGTCAAAGGTCAATTACAACTGAAAAGGGCTGTCATAACTCCCCATTACATTACCACACCTCCTTTCAACTGTTTGCAGTGAAATACACTACACTGCATGGATGAGATAGATACTTCATAACATGGATACATGGTTCTTCTTCCATTCCAGCAAGTTTGTCTGGCACGGCCTCTGGCCCTCCAGGGCCTCTGTCTTCATGGATGAGGGTCACCAGTAAGTGAGAGCCCCGGTAGCCTGAGGGCTAAAGGTTCAGACAGTGCTGAAGGGTGAAGAGGGGGAAGAGGGTGAATAGAAATGGCTCTGTCAGTAGTGGTAACCACACCCCAGTTAATTCTCTGCCTCCATGGATACAGGAGAGCTTTGTACTAACTGACCCCTAACCTACGACATCTTGCCCTCCATCCGACCAGGATGCATTGAATGAACTCAGACAGAGAGAGAACAGGCAACAGACCACAGAGACTGTGTGTGTGTGTAAGTGTGTGTGTAATGTACTGTATATGTGTGTGTGTGCCTGTGTTTGTGTGTGTTTGTTTATATGCGTATATGTGGGCCTTTGGTTTTCCCCCTCCCCCATCCTCCACTAACGCCCCAGGGATAGAAGTCAGGACTTATTGAGTCATCCCGTTTGCTGTGGAATCGGAGACCAGCGAGCCGAGGCTGGTAATGTGATTCCCATGCATGAGTCAGAGTGTTTTTGACTGCCTGAGTCAAGTCCTGGGGCTGTACCGTGCGGTACTGTACTCATCCTCCACTAGCTCAGGGACAGGAAGGAACAGAGATCTCATTCAGCCTGCAGTCTTAACTGCATAATTGATGCCTCCGTTAGGGTTGTGTGAGGGTTCACCTGACGTCTGCAGGGCCTCATGGCGGGGCTTGTGGGTAATGGAGTCTGCCTACAGGAAGAGGACCAGACGTCGCAGGATGGATGGTGTCTGCTGCGCGGCTGATTAGGGACCACATTACATTACAGTCTCAATGATATCGTCTCTTCTTGTTTTTTTCTATTGGATATTACATTACAATACTGTTAGTTTGTACTGTCTGGGCTGTAGTATGGCTGGGAGGGTTATTGGATCCCTTTGAAGACTTTTAAGTGTGTCTGTCTGTCTGTCTGTCTGTCTGTCTCTGTTTGTCTGTCTGTCTGTCTCTCTGTTTGTCTGTATCTCTGTCTGTCTGTCTGTCTGTCTGTCTCTGTTTGTCTGTCTGTCTGTCTGTCTGTCTGTCTGTCTGTCTCTGTTTGTCTGTATCTCTGACTGTCTGTCTCTGTCTGTCTGTCTGTATTTCTGTCTGTCTGTCTGTCTGTGTAGTGCAGGTGTCTGTTTGTTATTGCTGGTTGACATGTCATCAGTCATCTTTGACATGACATGTGTATCACACCTAACCCTCTAATTGCTCTTATGATGTTCGCTAGGAGATATTGTTTTTCACACTGCCAGGGCTTCTGTCACAGAGCTGACATCTTCTCCTCAGGACTTTCTTAGCAGCCAGAGGAGCTGCGTGTGTATGTGTGTGTGTGTTTGTGTGTGTGTGTGTGTGTGTGTGTGTGTGTGTGTGTGTGTGCCTGTGTGTGTGTTGGTGGGTGTTGAACAGATTGACTGTGATATGGAGTGCAGACTGAGGTGTGAGCTGATCCTACATTACTCACACATGGTGAGTTAGTGATAGTCTCCTGACTGTCACATTAAAGCTTCAATCTGGGATTTGTTTCTCAGCAGAACGGTAGCCCCACTGTTTGTTTTGGTATATAGCTGATGGATAGTAAAGTAAGTAAGTATGCAGCTGATTGGTGAGGCTAGGAAAATGTAATATCCAAGATCCCAGATTGTACCTTTTTAAGAAAGAACATTAT